GTGTCCCAGCCCCTTTGAAACAGCGGGGGGGGTGGGGAGCTGTTGCCTTTTTCAGCAGTGGGGGGGGCAACACCAAGGGGGCCCGTTTCCCCCCCTGAGGTGGCCCCCCGTTGCCCCCCCCCCCCCCCTTCTTCTCACCGCCCCCTGCCCCAACCATTCCTCCCCTCCTGTGTTTGTGTGTGCAGCTACATGTGCTACCTGTCCTCCTTCTCTGCCAACCCCGATGAGCGCGACCAGTACTGCTGGCTGAGCCCGCAGCCCGCCGGCACGCCAGGCTCCCAGTGCCCCATCTTCCCCAACGCCTGGCTGACCGAGGGGGCGCCAGGTGGGAGGAGGAGGGCGGTGTTCGTGGGTGCCGCAGCAGCACATTCCCTTACTGTATGGTTGCACCCAGTGTGTACCCCCCCTGCTGCTGCAGTGTTCGGCCCCGGCACCAGCCCCAGCGCTGCCACGGCCCCGCCGCCCGACCAGGAGGCCGCAGCCCCGCCTCCTATTGTCGCCGCCACCAGTGCTGCCGCACCTGGCGCTGCGCCGCTGACTGCCCTGTCCGCGCTCGTCTTCATGTTGGCGGTGCTGCTGCTTGGCTGAGGATTAGCGGTTGCAAACGTTGTTGTCAGTCTGCCCCCGATTGCTGTGTTGTGCAAGGCGAGCGTTGCTCAGTTCCTGTTGTTTATTTTTTCTTCACTTGAACATTGTTGAACAATTCATTGCCTCGTATACGAACAGTCGGTAGAGATGCATCCATCACCGGTCCGCCCTGTGTGTAACCCCAATCCCCGGCGCCTGCGCCCGCTGACCGGGCGTGGCCAGAATTAGCCTTCCTCATAATCCCTGGAAGCAGGGCCGCGCACGTCATTCCTTGCACAAGAACTCCCTGGAGGTTCTTTGGCGCGCAGTCTCTTGTTGGTAGCCCGGAAGCACACATGGCCGAGCGGCAATGGGGGGAGGCCCCGCGGCCTGGGCCTTACGCCCGCAGCTCGGCATGGGCCGGAAGAGGCGGAGGCAGCAGCGCAGCGGCAGCAATAGAGGAAGCAGGGGCCGTCGGTCAGCCCAAGTCCGCCACCGCCGCCGCAATGCAACGCGGCCCAGCAGAGGCTGCTGACCAGGTAGGACCAGACCCACCCTGCACTTTGGGGCTCACCGGTGTATGCTGGCTTGTGCTCTGACACCGTGATGCTCCTCCCCAACTCACGCTGCTGGGCCGCAGTGCGCCAACTGCGGGCGGGCGGGGTGCCAGTCGTGGCGGCGGCAGCCCACGACACGCGAGCGGCTGTGCACCACCTGCGGCGCATACAGCAGCCTGCACGGCGGAGCCATGCGGCCACAGGTGGGACCACAGGCGCACATTCCATTCCATGCCTGCACGCGGTTGAGGGCAGGGCCTACCCTCTTGCCACCTGACTTGACCCATTGGCAAGCAGCAAGCAGCTGGGCCGTGGAGGCTACTCTTCTGCCGAGGCGACCTGCCCCAGCCTCCCTCACAGCCTCGCCCCCTGGCCTTGCAGGTGTACTGGGAGCGGCAGTGGGAGGCCCGGCATGAGGCGGTGGCAGAGGCGGCGGTGGCGGCAGGGCTGGCGGCAGCGGCGGATGTCCTGTCACCATGCTGCCACTGTGGGGTGGTGCCAGGTGGGGCCTGCCGCTGCCCCAAGGCCTTTCAGGCTACACTTCGTTGCTGCTGCCGTTATATGCACTTTGCACCGCTCTTTGATCTACTCCTGCGGCTGCCGCTGTGCTGCTTGCGCCCGCAGACAAGAAACGGCACCCTTCGCTGCACCCCCGCACCCAGAAGCGCATTTGCAAGACCTGCCACCACTACTCCTGGCGCCACGATGGCAAGATGCGGCCGCTGCACCAGGCGGGCACCCGCCGCGGTGTTTGGCGCACCCCTGTGGCGCGGCGGCGCAGGCAGCATGCCGCCCTGGCAGAGACTGACGCCGAGGCAGCTGCTGTCGCCGAGTCCGGGGTCCCTTGGGGCAGCAACGGCAGAGCGAGGGCCAGGACGATCCTGGAGCTGGTGCAGCGTCACAGCCACTGGCAGCTGCCTGCGGGCCACATTGCCTGGCAGCTGCCAGCCGAGGCTGCAGAGGTGGCCGGCGCCTGGCGCTGGCAGCGCCCCCCGCGGCCACTTGCTGCCGAGGAGCAGGAGGCAGGAGGCAGGCGGCGCAGCTGGCAGGCTGGCGATGGCAACACAGAGGCGCAGCCTGCGGGTGAGCAGCAGCTCTTCACTGCTCTTGACCCTGCCCCCTACCTCGAGCACGCTGTGCTGCACCGAGTGCCCCGTTTCCTGCCCGGCGTTGCACCTGCAGACTGGCAAGGCCCGCTGCACGGCCGGCGGTGGGAGCTGCCCCAGCTGCTGCACCGGCCAGCCTGGCAGTCCAGGCGGCGGCAGCGTGCGCGCGCCGACGAGGAAGCCGTGTCGGAGCCACAGGCAGAGGGAGAGGCAGAGGATGGGCAGGCATACGAAGGCGGCGACGACCAGGGGCTGTTCATGGGGTGGGAGGGCGCTGAGTCAGATGATGGTGCAGCTGGCAGCACAGGCTGCTGGCAGGCAGAGGGGTTGTCAGAGGTGGAGGTGGAGGCAGACGAGATGGACGCAGAGGAGGAGCCGCAGGAGGAGGAGGAAGGCTTGGAGGAGGAGGAGGAAGAAGAGGAGGAGCAGCAGGAGGAGGAGCAGCAGGAGCTGGAGGTTCCTGATTCTCCTGCCTCACCATACCACCCCTTCCGAGGACTTAGGGAGCAGGTATGGCGTTCTGATTGGGAGTTTGGTGATGACGGGGAGGAGGCACAGGCAGCTGAGGCAGCTGCTGGCGCCTCAGAGGATGAGGAGATGGCAGAGCGAGTGCCGTCCAGGGGCCAGCCCGGCTGGCGCCAGCTGGAGGCGCAGCAGCAGGGGGTGCAGCGCAGCATGGGGTCGCTCCGGGTCGAGGACCGGCGGCGGCAGCAGCCAAGGAGAGAGCCTGGCTTGAATGAACGGCGGCACCGCCAGCAGCGGGAGCGGGAGCGGGAGCGGGCGCGGGAGCGGCAGGGCTCCTCTGAGCGGCAGCCGAGACGGTGGGCAGGGTGGGGTCGTGAGCGAGGCCCCCGCATCTCCTGCGCCCGGCCTGCGTATTACGAGCGCGGCCTGGAGCGCATGTGTGGTGCCTGGCGAGGCTGCCCAGGCAAGCTGCCGCTGGAGCTGCCCCTGCTGTCGCTCTCGGCTGCCAAGGAGGTGGGGTATCCCGCTTGCCAGCGGTGCCTGTGGAGGGCAGGTGCTAGCTGCGCATGCGCTGAGGAATGAGGCTGCTCTTGTGCCCTGCCGTGCCCTGCAGAGGGGGGCGCTTATGTGGGCCAAACCCTCGTGGTCGATCACTTGCCCCTAGGGATGGAGCGAGTGCACCGAGCGCTGCGCAGGCTGCTCAGGCAAGTGCATCGAGGCGCGGGCCTGGGCCAGAGCAGGGCTGGCTGCTGCACAGCAGTGTGCAGGCTGTCGGCAGGCTGTCGGCAGGGGAGGAAAGTTGGGAGCTCTGCTTGGATGCGCCAGTTTGCCACGTGGTTGACTGACTTGCTGTGGTGCAATGCAGTCCAGAGCGGCCGATCATAACGCATGTCCAAGTGATGCCACACCACCTCAGCAGCACCAAGGTGCAGAGGCTGGTGCTGCTGCTGGGGGTCCCAGCTGCCACCTTGTGTCACACCAGCCAAGCGGCCGAGTGCCTCCCGACTGACGTTTCCCCGTCTGCCCATGCAGTGGGCGGCGCGAGTCACTTTCAGGTCGTCCTGGCATGCAGCCCGGGCGCTCATTGCCACACCCACCTTGCGGGTATGCCCGTCGGCGCCGCCCCTGCCATCTGATGCGCTGCTGGTACAAACTTGAACCCATCAGCTGCGCTACATTTGTGTCTGACCACCCCGCCGCCCAAATGTTTCTGTGTCGCAGCTGAACGGGAAGCTGGCGACTGTGCGGCCCGACAACCGAGAGGTGTGGGATCTGCTCAAGCGCCAGCACGCGCCGGCGCGTGTGCTGCGTGCGGTGCGGGAGCAATGATGGCGGCGGGCGCTCGATTACATGCTGTGGCGTCAGCATTGACCTTTCCATTTTTTGCATCTGGAAGCAGTTACAACCTCAAGGTTCGCCAACAACTGATACAGTGTGGGGGTCACAAGGCCAAGGCGCAAGAAACTGATTTACCTATATAGAGGTTTATTCAGGTCACAACAGATTAGGAGAGTTGACAGGTGGCGACAGGTGGTGTAGCGAGCACGACGGTGACGAGGGAACATGGGCGAGGAGGGCTTGGAAGCTGCCAGCAGACCATGCTCCTCCCTACTGGCTTGCCATGGCCTCGTTCAGCCGCTTGTGCAGCAGCACAAACTCGGGTGGGCACGGCACGGCGCCGCCAAGGATGGCTTGCGGCCCCTGCTCCGCCACATGCTGCCCATACACCTCGCCGTTCTTCATTGTATCCACCTCCAGCCCTCCAGCTGCACATGCCGGCAGGGAGCAGAATACATAAGCAGTGATTGCCGGCTGATCAGTGGTGGCATGCATCAGCGTGCCGGATGTGCCCCGCCCCCCGGCCCTGTTGCTGCGCCCAGCCACTCCTGCGGCTGCTCGGCTCCCCAGCTTCTGCTCCTCTGCTTCTCGCCCCACCTGTAAAGAGCGGCACGTCCACAAGCAGGCCCTCGGCGTGCGACAGCACCACCACATCTGGCAGCGGTGAGGAGGTGGTCAAGGTGGAGCCTGCCGTGCGGAACTGCATGGGAGGGGGTGCCACGTGCGGCATGAACTGGTGAGGAGACTGTCTCTTTGCGGCCCTGCCCAGCCCAGGGGCCACCGCTGTGCATGACTTGTGCTTCCGGCCAGCAGAGAAGGGAGTGCAGGAGAGGAACGCTGGATCGCTGCCTACCTTGGAAACCGTCAGGTGCTTCTCTGCCGCCGTGTTGCCCAACCGCCCCTGGCTGCGCAGCTGGTCCGCCGCCTGCTCGCTGATCACGCAAAACAGGGTGGCCGCTTGGTGCGCGCCTGCACGCAGCGTCGTGGCGGCGCGATGAGATTTACCAGCACATTCCGGTGTTCCTGCCCTTCCCATGCGCCCTAAACTGTTTGCTTCCAAGTCCCTGCTAGTCCTGCCTGCCCAAACTTACCAGCCGTCAAACCCAGCGAGACAGAGTCTGATAACAGGAAGAGAGGCGCGGACCACCGCGATGTGCCATCGGCGTTCATGCCCAGCTTCATGAGGGCGACACCCGTGGTGGTGGCTCGCCCAAACACCAGCCCCGACTTCTGCGTGAACAAGAATTGCACGGCCTGCAGGCGGCGCGGGAGACCAGGTTGAGTGCCAGGTTGAGTGCCAGCCTTGCGCCGCCACCCGCCTGCCGCCGCCACCCGCAGGCCCCCCCCCCCCCGGTGTCGGAGCGCCCCAACCTCACCCTAGCCTGCTTCAGGATGGCCGGGTCCAGCGTCCGAGGCTTGGAGCGGCCGCCTGGCGTCGCGGCCGACAATAAGTCGTCCAAAAGGTCGCACGACTGCACCGCGAGCAGCGCCCTGGGCGCCTGCTCCCCCTCAGCATCACCTAGAGCATGCGCCACCGCCTTGAGAGACTCTGTAGCCTGATCCACCCCTGGAACTTGCGACATTTGTGGCACCTTCATGTCCAAAACTCGCTTGGAGATTGAGGAGAGCGATCCCTGGGGCTGGTCAAACGATAATGAAAGATGCGCTGAGATGTGAGGCCAGCGGTACCCTCGCGCATGCCTGGCGCCTGGTACGGCTGGCGAGAGTGCATAAGCGTGACACACAATGATGCAAGGAAATGAAGGGCATGGCAGTTCACACTCGGCACGTTCATTGGCTGGGCGGCACCACAGCGAGCTCGTCCCGCTGAGCAGCTCAGTCGTCCGGCAGCGGCGGCCGCACAGTGAGGCCCAGGCGCCGCACAAACTCGCGCCGCATCATGGCCACCTCGTCCCCGATGGCCGCCCCCGCCAGGATGGAGCTGTTCTCCTGGGCGCGGCGGATGAGGTACGGCATCACCTCCTCCACCGCCCCAAAGGGAACATACCTGCGTGGACACGGGAGGCGGGGCACAGCATGCATTGGAGCGCATGTACCAAGGTGATGACGCATTCAGACCCCAGATTGCCACACACACACACACACACACACACATGCACCACCCCCGCCACCCCCGCTCACTTGTATGCGCCGTATCCGTGGCCCCCCAGCGTGTATGTCAGGTGGTCTGCCATGCCCAGCAGCTGGCCAAAGTAGACGCCCGCGGAGGGCGGCAGGCCCAGCGCCGCCATGCGTTCCACCGCCATCTCTACGCTGCGCTGGTTGTGGCTGGCAACCATCACCTCGGCGCCCTCCCGCGCCACGCACGCCAGCATCTCACGAACGCACCTGCGCGGCGGCGCAGCCAGGGGAGGGAGAGCGGGGCGGCTGGAGGAGGGCTGTTGCGAAGTGCGGCGTGCAGGCCCACGCCAGAGGCGTCGCTACGCTGTCGGGCTGCTAGCGTGCCTGCGCGTCGGCCCCACCAGCCCTCCATCCTGCCACCCCCGACACGCACAGCCCCCAGCCCCACCTATCGTAGTTGGCATGCGTATCCTCTGCCGAGTCATGGATGGGCGAGGGGTACCCCTTTTCCATCGCCCGCTGCCGCTCCAGCAACATGTAGGCGCCGCGCACTGCGGGGCAGGGAGCGGGGAGTTGGTGGGTTGGTGGGCTGGACACCAGTGCCGGGAGTGTGTGCTAGGAGCGTGCCAGGAGCTGGACGCGAAAGGAGCAGCCTGCCGCTGCAATGGGCGGCGCCGGCGGCAGGCGGCGGCAGGGCGCGTCTGCCTCATGCTCACCCAGCTTGGCGCCGTACTTGTAATTCTGCGGTACAACAGCAGTACACAACAGAAGGCAGGATTGAGCAAAGATAGGAGTGAGCGCAGTGCCGGGATGGGCTGCTCCCGCGGCAGCGCCGGCCGGCCGTGCGACAGGCATCCACCCCCTGCCCTGCCCCATGCCCTGCGCCTTGGCGTGGCGCCCGGCCGCCTCACCTCCCGCCGCGCCCGCTCCAGCTCGGTCATCAGCCGCTCGTGCGAGTCCTTGAGGTAGCACTGCAGGGCCAGCAGGCATGGGGCACAGATGCAGCACGTCACGGCCTGTGCAAACACGTGTTGCACGTGTTTGTGCCCGCATGGCACGCGCGCGCACACACACCCCAGCACGGCCAGCCGGCATGCCGCCGACCCTGCCCAGCGCGGGCCATCCCACCTGCACGGTGTTGTAGATGCGCGGCGCGGTACGGTTGTACTGGCGCTGCAGCTCGGTCACGGTGTTGTCGATGGCGGGCTGGAAGTAGGAGTGCTCCGCATCCACCAGCAGCCGCACGTCGGCCTGCGGGGCGAGGTGGCTGGTTTGGTCAGCGTCTGGTTTGGTTGTTTTGGGACAACAGCGCAGGTAAGGCGGGAGGTAGGTGTGGTGTGGTGGGGAGGCAAGCAGCAGGCAGTCGGGACAGGGTAGCAGATGCACAGCAGGGACAGTGCTGCCGGGCGGCCGCGTGCGAGCCATGCTGCTGTCGGCGCCCGCGCGCGCGCCGCACCTCCGCCGCCGCCTGCGCCAGCCGGTCCACGCGGCCCATCATGTTGCGCAGCAGGCGCTGCTCATCCTGGTTTAGAGCCGCCTCTGCATTCGGGGGTGGCAGGGGTGGCAGGCGTGGCCAGCTGAGGAGCAGGCTGGCCACACGCGGTGCACCCACCACCAGTAGCAGCAGCACCGCTTGAAAGCAGCACGCCCAGAGCGGGAGCCGGTGACGAAAATTAGGCGGCCCTGGGCCTTGAGCCTGCCCGCCAGGCAGCGCGCGGAGCCGCCCCCGCGCCTGCAAAGGGCCCTCGCGAGCGGCACCGCGCCGCGATGGCTGCCGTGTCCATCACGCTAATCCGACTGATCCAGTCAACATAGTCCACCCTGGCGTCCTTGCCCACATCCAGGTGCGCAAAGATCTGCGGGGGGACAGGCAGGGAGGGAGGGAGGGTTGGCATGATGCGGCGGATGGGGGGAGCAGGAGCATGACGCGAGGCTCCTGCACACGCCCACCACCTCTGGTGCCACCCACCCACACCCACACCCACAGCCACCACACCGGCGCCGCCCCACCTCGTCGATGCGCTCCGGCGCGTCGTCCACAAACAGCTGGGAGTAGACGTGGGCAAACTCGTCGTGCGTCATGTAGCCGTTGCCGTCTGCGCCCGGTGTGCGTGGTGGTGGTGGTGGTGTGGGGATGGTGTGGGGGTGGGTGGGGGTTGGGAGGGAAACAAGGGGCAGAGGAGGGAATGGGCAGGTGGGCGGGCGGCGTACAGCCGGAAGGTGTGGTACTGCTGGGTGGTGCTGCAAGCCACCCATCAGGCCGCCCCCTCAATCAGTTACACAACTACATTGCCACCATGGCCACACACACACACACACCACGTCCTTGGCCGCACCTGTGTCGAAGCGGCGGAAGAGGTCGCCGATGGCCAGCAGGCTGCTGGAGGTGCGCTCCAGCAGGGCGGGCAGCCCAAGCGCGGTCACCTTGATGGCTGCAGGGACACGGGATGGGCGAGGAGCAGAGCGGGCACAAGCGCAGGCACAAGCTGTCAGCTGGCGCTCCGGCGGCCCGCCCTCCCTCTTCCGCCCATGCTGGGCTCCCTTCCCCAGCTGGCACCATCTCCCGCTCCCCCCAAAGATCACCTTGCTCACCCTGCTCCTCCACCCCACACACCCTGCTCCTCCATGCCCCACACGCCCACCCAGCTCGCAGCCCACCCCCGCCCACCCACCCCACCTGCAAAGCCCTGCCCCTCTGCGCTGTGCGCCGCCTCAATCGACTTTAGGAAGACGCTCATGCGGCTGTCGCACACCCTCTCGCTCTCATACTCGTAAGTGCGCACCAGCACTGCGCCACAGGACGCGTGGGAGCATGGGGGCGGGAGCAGCAGGGGCTTGGGGTGCGGCAGGGCACAGCTCCGCAGCAACCGAAGCAGCAGCAGCGGGCCTTGGGCAGGAGGGCGGCGGTGCAGCGTGCACGTGCGGCCAGAGCTCAGGGGGCCGCTCGGCAGGCGCAGGCTTCCCACCCGAGTCCTGCGGCGCCTGCCGGCTGGCGGGGCCCTCCTCGTGCTCGACATCGTCCTCTGCAGGTCACCAGGCGCACCCTACTCCCCTTCATTACCGCTCGATGACAATGCAGCTGTTCAGCAGCAGAAGAAGACTCTACCTGAGCCCCCCCCATAGCCACAACCTGAAGCGCGGCGCCATGCCCTGCGCCAACCATCGCCCATCGACCAGCCAACCACCCCCCTACTGCACCCACACCCACAGGTATGCATGCAGCAGGCGAGTGTCGGCGTGCCACCCTGGCCTTGGCGGCATGGAAGAGAGCTGCGCCAGCCAGCATGCGCTGCGCCCTCAGCCAGCGGCGGGAGGCACAGGGCATGCTGCTGAGCAATTCATTCACCATGCCGCCGCGGCGCGGGCCCGGCATGCCCGCCCCACTCGCCTGCCGCATAATCCAGGATGGCCCTGACCCCGCTGGCCTTCATCTTGCGCAGGGTGGGCTGAATGCGCACCGCGTCCTCGCCTGGAACGCACGTGCAGTGGCGGCAAGGCAGGGCGGGCAGGCCGCGCCGCGGGCAGGGCGGGGGTGAGCGCAAGGGTGACCGGCGGCTGCCTTCCCAACTCACTCTCTGCGCAGTACGTGATGCCGCCAATGCCGTGGCGGCGCAGCGCCTCCACGGCTTCACGGCACGCCTCCACGCATTCACCGGCCACAAACTGCTTGTAGAAGGTGTGGCGGATGACGGCGTTGGTGAGGCGCGGCCCAAACACGCGCTTGCTCCAGGCCAGCACGCTGTCCGCGTTCCGCACCAAGGCCTGCACCTTGCAGAGCTGGAAGACCAGCAGGGAGCGCAGGATGTCCAGGCTGGACTTGGCCTGGCGGCACGGGGAAGGAGGAGGGAGGAGGAGGGACAGGGAGGCATGGAGGTGAGAATCTGAGGGAGGCAGTGGTGGCTGTGAACGGGATGAATGCGATGTGTGTTGCTGGCATGGGGTGACGCCGCCTGCAAACCACCCACAGGGTCGGGTGGCCAGGCGGGGCAGGCCTGCCTGGCACCCACCTTGAAGGCCGCCTTGGGGTCGTCGAAGCGCAGGGCCGCCAGAGGCAGCGGCTCCGCCTGCGCCTGCAGGTGCTGCACCACCAGCGGATCGGGCTCCCCCATCACTTCCTTCACCGCCTGCGCGGCCTCCTCCATGCGTGCCGGCGCGGCCTCCGCCACCTGCTGCGCTAGCCAGGCAGCGTGGTGCAGGCCGGCGGCGGCAACGGCCGGCAGCAGGCGCTGGCAGCTGGCCGCCGCCGCCGCCCGCGGCAGCGCGGCGCGCAGCATGGCGGGGAGGGGCTGCTCGTGTGAGGTGGGGTCTCTCCTGTGGTCTGCACAGGCACGCGGATGCCACGGGGCTCAAGTGGCTGTGCAGCAGCTTGCCGCCCTTACCACGGCAGGATGAGGCAGTGCGGGAGGGCAGCGGGTGCCGCAGTCGGCCCCGCGCAACCTGTGCACAGCGCGGTGCCGGCGCCGGGCAGCGATAGACTGACCCTACAGGGTTTGCGGCGGTGCGCACCAGGGGCCCACAGGGGGACGATGCACAGCACTCAGTCGGTGTCGGAGGGGCACAGAGGCCAAGGCCGGTCCAGGGCGCCTTTCAGCAGCCCAAATACGATCGGCGGGTGTCAGGAGCTCAGATGGATCAACAGATGAGTCACAGGACAGCTGTCCAAACGTAGGTAAATGGCGGGGGGTCCAGTTGGAAAGCGCAAGGAACGAGGGCAACGCCCAGAAGGCAAACCCGGCCCCCGCCTCCTCAGATCACCACACCGGGACGCACCTGCAGCTCCTACGGGCGCCACGGAGAGGAGCTGCGCTTTTCAGAGCCCTTGCACACCAGCCTAGCCACTATGTCGACAACGGTGGTCTGGAACGGAGACCAGGTGGCTCCCCTGTTCGGCTACCTGGGAGCGGCCTCCGCGCTGGTCTTCTCCTGTGAGTGCGGGCTCTGCCCTCGATCGGGGTTCTGGGCGCGGCTGGAGGGCGCAGAGCGCGGCTTGGCCGCGCCAGGCGGGGCTAGAGGGCCCGTCGGGCAGCGATCAGACCGCCCCTCGCTGGAATGCTGGCAGGCGGTGCAACCCTCGCTGGTGGCCCGGGGCGCGGCGCTGCGGCCGCTTGGAGGGCAGCTACGCCCTCCCTGCCATTGTCGTTTCCCTCACAGCCAGCCTGCCGTTGTGCTGGCGGGCCCTCCAAGCCATGGGCGGGCCCGCAGGCCCGCCTCATGCAGCGCGCCGCCCTATGCGCCTTGACCTGGCCCACCCCCGCCCGCCCGCCCTACGCCGCAGGCTTTGGCGCTGCCTATGGCACAGCCAAGTCTGGCGTGGGCATTGCGTCCATGGGTGTGATGCGCCCCGAGCTGGTTATGAAGTCGATTGTGCCTGTGGTCATGGCGGGTGTGCTGGGCATCTACGGCCTCATCATTGCGGTCATCATTAGCACCAACAGTGAGTGCGGGCTGCACTGCCGTGCCGCCTGCCCTGCTCCCAACCCTTGTGCTGGCCCCCTTCCTGTGTTTTGCACCTGCCTGCGACGCTGCCGTCACAGCGCCTGCGTGCCAGCCTCTGCCTCTTTGGCTAGCCTTTGCCCCGAGCACGCGCATCCAACCCCTCCGCCTGTCCCCCGCCCTACTCCACTGCTCCCTCCCATGCTCAACCGTCGCCTGCCCATCCTATCCCTTCCTCCTCCCCGTGCCACCCCCACCCTGCAGTCAACCAGACCCAGGACAAGGCCTACTACTTTTTCGACGGCTACGCCCACTTTGCGGCGGGCCTGGCGTGCGGGCTGGCAGGCCTGGGCGCGGGGATGGCGATCGGCATCGTGGGCGACGCCGGCGTGCGCGCCAACGCGCAGCAGCCCAAGCTGTTTGTGGGCATGATCCTCATCCTGATTTTCGCCGAGGCGCTGGCGCTGTACGGCCTGATCGGTGCGCAGCGGTGGTGCCGCCCGCCGCCGCGTGCGCCCGCGGCTGCTTGCCGGGGCAAGGCGCCAAGCCGTGCAGAGCCGTTGCGCTGGCTGGATGCTGGCTGCATGCGTTGCCAGGCTCTCTGGCCGTCTGGCTGCCAGCCACGCCCAGCAGCCTCGGCGCTGCATCCTGTGCGGGTGTTGTGTGCATGCGTTGACGCTGATACCCCCCCCCCCCCA